AGCTGAAATACTGTAAGAACCCTGAAGATTTGGAGTGCAATGAGAATGTGAAACACAAAACGAAGGAGTACATCAAAAAGTACATGCAGAAGTTTGGGACTGTTTACAAACCCAAAGAAGACACAGACTTGGAATAAACTTAATGGGTCAGCAAAGGCAGTTTAGAGTGGGAAGACAAAAAGTTAACTCAATAAGAGAAGTCCATGGGCCTGTCCAACCCATTTTCCACAACCTTGTCAGGGCTGTTGCCAGTGATGACTCTTGGCACTTGAATCATATGAGTCATGCAGAGTAAAGAAACCATATTCCATTTAAGACAAAACAAGGCCACAGTCAATATGCTACTGGGGTAGGTGGGCCAAGACTGTCAGGAACCTGGGAGAGAGGCTATTCCCCTCAGTCTCCTAGGCCTGACCCCCATTCTCTAACTTGGGTCTCCTACTTGGCGGTGCTGTTAGCGCACTGACCCATGCGCACCCCTTCCTCCCCACCCCATGTGCCGGGGAATCTGTATTATATTTTAACGTATATGTGAATATATTGATAAATATTTTTTTCTGGGTTTTTGTTTTTGTTTTGGGGTTTTTTTTTGTTTGTTTTTGTTTTTGCTTTTAGCCTATGCGTGCTAAGATCACGGGAACACTTTGTAAGGATAGTTTGGGTTCTCCTGCAAGGTTTAATCTGTTATCATGTAAATATTCCAGAGTAGGCTACCTCTGAGTTTCTGGTCAGCCTCATGCTATGTTGATAAGATTGATTTTACTGCTTAAAATCATTTTACTTTATCCAATTTTTACTGAACTTTTTATGTAAAAAAAATTAAAATAAAATCAATTAAAGAACTTGGCCTATACTTTACCTACAAAATTAATTGGTTAAAAAAAGCTTTAAGAACCAAGTGGACATTATGAGTTTGGCTTCTGGGCTTTGTTATGTGGGTGGCATTCCAGGGATATGGGTTAAAAGGAAAAGAATATCGTGTGTTTAATAAGTGTTTAATAAGTGAGAGAGTAGTCATAGTATGTGGCTCATAGTTCAAGAACGAAATTATTTTCTGGCTCTTCCCGGAATTTTTGCATCCTTGCCCTCAAATTACACAATGGGATAACTTTTAAACAAAAATAATGATGACAAGCAGTTGTTCATTGTGAATCTCAACTGAGCTGTCTCAGTAGGTTCTTTCACACTCAGTCTCCTTGATAATATGATCACAAAGTGGATATTCTAGATTAGGGCCGTTGAACAGCAAAACAAACTGATCTGCTGTGGAACAAATTTTTTTTCTTCATAAAATAATGAATGGGTGAAAATTATGTGGAGACAATTTTTTTTTCAACTTGTGGAAATTTTTACACAGCTTTCCAGAAGTAAAATGGGTTGCCCATCTCAGATAGTAGGTTCTCCTTCAGTGGAGGTTGGATGGTGACTTACCAGGGATGTTATAGAGGGAATTTCTGTTCATGTGTGGGTTGAGCTTGTTGCTGACTTGAAGTCCCTTCCATCTTGGTCATTCTTGGTTATACCTATAATCTAAGCCTGTTTAGCACCTAATTAGCAAAATTAAGTATAATTAAAGAGCCCATAGCAGACTGTAAGATGAGGGTCATTTAAGGCAGTCCTTCTTGGCCTGAATCATGTGATGTTAGACCTGGAAGTGACCTAAAAATTCATATAGTTGTAACTCTGTCCCCACCCCTTCATTTTATAGAAGAGGAGACGAGAGGCTTAGGGCTTATTAGGCCAATCCCACCTTTGCATCTGTCACTTTTCCTGGCCAAATAGGGGGAGACAACTACTAGGCAGCAGTTAACTCACAAAGCCCTGGATGGGTCCTGACTTGGAGTTGGGGGGGTGAAGGGGAGGCAGGAGCTTCCTCCCCACCCTCAATCCTAGAGAAGTGGGTGTCTGACTTCAGAGCCTATTTTCTATTAACCATTCACTAAGTCTAAAATCTCCTGTTTGCCTCGATCAATAGAGGGTAGAAGAAATAACATCCTTTACCCCTGGAACCATCCATCTAGTCAAAGAGACAATATACACATGTGTAAGATCACTCATAGTACATGGTGTGCAGTAAATGCCAGATGTCGGGGATGGGCAGAACATTCTGTAGTGTTTTAGAAGAGGGAGAGAGTGGAGTGCTGGAGTGGGTCTTAGAAGGTGGGTGGCAGTGATAGTTCATGCTTCTGCAGTCCTTTACCTCAGCCCTACCAGAAGGTATGGTCAATGCAAGTCTGATCTCATTCCCACTTTACAGAAAGCCTCAGTCTCAGATAAACCTTTTCTGGGAGATGTGTGGAAAGACATAGACAAAAAGCACACCATATTTAAGGAGGGGTTGAGGTGCAGGTGTTCTAGTACTGGGATTTCTTCCCCTCACCAATAAAGATAGGGCTCCATTAAGGTATTTTAAGTTTTTGTAAAGTGGTTTCCTCATAACAATCCTTTGAGGTAAAAGTACAAGAATTAATTCGTATTTTACAGATGAGGCACAGGAGGGGAGAGGAGTTGTCATGAGTCATTCAGTGAGTTAATTTAATTGGGGCTCAAACTTGAGGATATAAATGAGGATAATAATACCTCTAGTGCCTGTCTCATAGACGTGTGGGAATCAAATGAGATAATTTATTTAAATTCCTTTGCAAACTTTAATGCACAATATGAATGTAAACTGGCTAGATCACTATGGTCCTGGGCCTAGGGGGCAGGGCAAAGTAGCTCCTCAGATTTTCTAAACTGGAATCATTTAGTCATGTAAGTGGAGGACACCTTAGAACATAGAACATTAGAGCTAAGAATGGCTTTAGCATCACCTTATTTTTAATGTGAGGAAAATGAGGTCCAGTGACTTTCTCAAGATCACGCAGGGGGGTAACGGGTGGCAGAGCTCAGTTTCAAATCTAAAATCCAAGTCCTTTGACTTGAAGTTAAATGCACCTACCACTATACCTTACTGCCTCTCCTTGGTGATTTTTGACATTTCTTTCCTTTGTCTGTTCTCGTTTCTGGTTTAATGAAGGGAGAAAATGCCATGTGTTTCTGAAGTACTTCTCCATCCCAGAGGGACTTTGGTTGGCCACTGCCTTCTCTTTCAGAAACCCAAGTACCTTTATGAATGACTCTGGGACAGAGGTGGTTGGACCTAACCCCCTGACTCCATTGGAGCCTGGCACAACAGATTCCTAAAGCTCTGAAGCAGATTCTTTAGTGTTTCACTCACAGCTGTTGTGGTTTGATGCAGGAAGTAGCCAGGATGGAAAGAGTATCTCCTGTATGATCTCCGATCATCATAATGACCAACCATGATTCCAGAAGACTCATGATAAAAAGTGATTGACTCTGGGTGCAGTTTGAGACATAGTTTTTCCCTCAGTTTTCAATTTAGATAAGATCAGGGAAAGAATTTGTCTTGCTTGACAATATTTGTAACAAAGATTTTATCTTTATGGCTTCCTCAGGAGGTAGGAGGGAGAGGTGGCATATATTTGTTTGGGAAAATTTTTTTTTAATGAAGTAAAACTAATAGATGGCAGATGGGCTTATAGTTTTCTGTCAATCCATGATTAATATTAATTCTATTGAGCATCTTGATCAAATACAATCCACATAATGTAATCTAATTAAACAACTTCCATTTTTTGTCAGATTGAAAAAGAGAGACTCTGATGTGGCCAGCTCGGACTTCCCCAGGGAGTCAGAGACTCTCAAATGGGAACTAACTTCTTCCTTGAGTTGGTGGGGAGAACAGAGTTCTACAGAGATATTTCTCAAAAGGCTCAGCCAACCAGCCTGACTGGGCAGGTATGGGACCTTAGCATCTAGCCCCCAAAAATGGCAGCCTTCTGTTGCTGCCTGCAGCCTTAGCTCCTTGTCTGGGGAGGGAATGGGAAAGGAAAAGCCCGGCTAGCTCTGCCTAACCCTAGAAAACAAATTGACCTCAGATACTGATAGATAAAAGGATCAAGCAAGTGCCTGAAAGTACAGCTAACAGAATAACATGCTCACTGGTAGTGAACAGAAAATTGTATTTGTCCGAAGATGGCTCATGGAAGAACTAGAAAGATGTCTCTGCTTTCTCTATTGGTGTGTCACACCAGGCAAGTCACTTCCCCTCTCGGGACTTCAGGTTCCTCTTCTGTAAAATGGTCAGACAGGATAAAAGATTCTTAACCTTTAAACATTTTGATAACTATTTCAGTTCAATTGTTCTTTATAATCCTGTGTATTTTACTTTATGCTTTTTGAGAAGGGGTCCATAAGTTTTCATCATGACACAAAACTAGTTAAGACTCCTTGGATTAGATTGGTCTCAAGTCTCTTGCAGCTGTTATATTGTCTGTTGTAAGAAGTCCTTCAAATGGCATCATGGAATAATAGAACTGGCTTCTCAAGCCTGCTTCTTGTGGGCTATATGTGTCTGACTCTGAATTAGGTCCCAATCCCTTGATGCCCCTAGACTTTTCTAAATCTACTGTAAAGTAGCTGGTAATCTGCAGTGGTAGTTTTCTTACTAGGAGTTCTCTGCACTGATAATCACACACCTGAACAAAAATTACAAGGTCTCTCCTGGTTCTGACATTAGATTCTGTGACTGATAACTTGGGGGACGTGTGGTTGAGGTTAGTAGGAAGCCCACAAGGAGAATGGTACTGGTCAAGGAAAGTGGTCATGGAAGAGTCTTCTCTCAACATGTCCTGATCCCTAATGGCTGTTCTTAGCAATTCTCCAACATCACTTTCCCCACTTCTCCTTCCACCCTCTCCTTTCTTTCCCATCCCAGAGGGGACCATCTCTGGTCATCCTGATCTATATCTTGCCACTGAAGCCAGATGGCTCTAGAGGAGAAAGTGAGGCTGGTGACCTTGCATAGCCCTCCCTCACTTAAATCCAATTCATTTGAGAGTCATGGCATAATTTTCCTGATGTCATGGTGCTCTTCAAGAATGAAGGACAAACAACAACAACAACGACCCATCCCAGTAAGGCCAGACAACTGAAAGGAGGTTAGACATGTTATGCTTTTATTTGTAAACGTAAATGGTGAGACCAAATATTGGTGTAGAGGTAGGGGTTCGGAGGCCCTCTCCACCTAAACCTAATTCCTACTTCAAAGAAATGGAAACTTCCCATCCTGGCAGGAAGGTCAAGAGAGTCTTCCATTACTCCAGCCCCTAGTTCTCAAGGAACTTCACTGTGGGGCAATAAAATGGGGACCAAAGCCCGTTCCTATCCATTGGATGTTATGAACCACCTTCTGGGGCTAGGGAAAAAGGCTATGGGGGCCTCATGAGCCTTCCTCACAGGTGGAGCTATGATACTAGGAACCTGGCTGGATGAGAGGTATAGAGGGGATGAACCCTGAAGTCAAAGCAGCCAGCCATGTTTCCCTGAGAGAAGCAGGGTGATGGAGGAAGGGAGGGAAAGCCCCAGGCTGACGAAGCCAAGGCCCATGATTCATACCATGGAATTACCCTCATCAGGGCTCCACAGGGCCCTAGCCACATCTTCTCGGCCTATTGCCTTCAGTGATGTCTCCAAGACCTCAAGGGTGGCTCCAGCCCCGCCTTCAGTGGCCCAGTTGCGTAGCAGAGTGTGAGCAGGTGCTGCGCCCTGGCCCATCACTTCCACAGCCTCAGCTTCATAGCCCAGTTGCTTTGCCAAGGCCTGCCAGCCTGCCCTGGGTGGGCTGTCTGCCCCCAGCAGCTGCTCCACCTCCTCTTGTTGCCTCTTAGGCAGTTGCTCATAGAGACGCCACTGACAGGGTTCCATCTGGGCCCCTAATGAGGAAAGGGTAATGGTAACCCAAGAGAAGAGACGTGGGAGTGGGATTCAGTGATGAAAGAGGGTAGAGATGGGGGCTGGATGGTCAGTGGCAGGAGGAGCAGTCTGAGCTATAGGGAAACATGCAAGCAGAGTGATGGTCTCACCTTTGCCCAAGCCATGGAGTTCATGGAATCCTGTTGTATCTAAGCAGATACTGCTGTCATTGTGTAGCTTCTCCCCCTCAGCAACACCCAGCTCCCCAATCCGAGCCTTTGCCAGCTGTTGTTTCTGTTTACAGGTTCTCCAGCTGTTGAGTGGGTAGTTGCAAGAGCATGAGCCTTAAAGTGCCCAGGGACTCACCCTCTCTACCCACCAGCCTCCAGATTCTCCCTACACATTGAGTTTGGTGCTGGGCTTTGGGAAGGGGGTCCAAGAGAGACTTAGGCTCCCCACCTACCTTTTGAAAGCAACATAGCCTAGGAGTCCCACCACCACAGCGGCCAGCAGGGAGCAATAGATGGGGATGATCACACCAGAATCCCTGGGAGGCAAGGGAAAGGTGGAGGAGATATTGGAGTCTGCGCCCTTGGCTTCTGCGTCACGGATCAGGATGTGCAGTTCCTCATCTGAGAAGGGGACAGAGGCACACAGCAAGAGGTATGTGGATAAGTTCAGACTACTGGGAGACTGAATGACAAGTGCCAGAGAAACAAGGAACAAAGGTATGGGGAACTTCCCTAGGTGAAGCCTCAGAGGTGTGGGTACAGGCCAGAAGCATAGGTGAAGTCAGTTGTCAGGTGCAGGGTAATAGGAATGGAGGGATGGGAGAGAGGCTGAAGAATATAGCCAAGGGGGAACAGAATGATGGGGAGAGGGCAGTGGACCAAGGGACAGAAAACAGGTCAGAGGGATGACTGAGAGAAATAAGACACAGGGACAGAGAGGTGGGGACAGGAGCCAGTGACTGGATCCCATCACTCTTCCCCTCCTACCTGTGTTCCCAGGCCCATGAGATGTACTGGGCAACACACCGGTATTCAGATGCCCCAGAGCGAAACAGAATACTTTGGGTGGGGAAAAAGCTTCAGAGCCATTGGCCAGGATATCTTCTTTTCCCCATGACCAGTACTCATCATGTGCCTCCCTTCCTTATCTCCTGGGGTTGCCTGGGATTTCTGGGGACTTGATATCCCCAGTTCCATCTTCATTCTACCTCTCACCCACCTCCCCAAACAAACTTGAGCCCCTCTTTCCTTTCCCATTTGAGTCAGACTGCAGTTCCTGCCACACCCAAGTCCTCAGTTCCAGAGTTCCAGGCCTGGATTCTGACCCAAACTAGAACCTCTAGGGCCTCTCCTTCATCTCTCCACCCTTGGCTGTAGTGGGGTACTCATGGGCATCCTAGGATTTAAAGCTGGAAGATTAAGAGATCACATAGTCCAACCACACTGCCTTTTCAGCTACTCTGTACAAGCAGTATTCTAAGACACTAGGGAGGAGAGAGGAGGCACAGGCCCTTTTCCTGGGTGTTATGTGGTGGAAGATGGATTGGGGAGGAAGAGAGGTATCTAGCTCATAACCTGGACAAGAAATAAAGGCATATGAAATGAGATGTTGGGGAGAAAGTGGAGGAAGCATTAGGGGCCAAGATTCATTTCTCTTACCCTGGTCCCTCTCTGCCTCTACATCCCTGTGTTTTATGATCTTCACCTCCGTATTTGGGGAGGAAAGGGTGGAGAGTCAAAAAGATTAAATACAGATAGAAGGAAGGATGTATGGAATGATAGAGAAATGGGAGGGAAAGTCCTAGGAGTCAGAGGGGAAGAAACAAAAGGGCAGTTGGGTGAGAACCAAACAGGGATGGAATCAGAGGGATGGGGTTAGTGCATACAAAGGATTTGGAAGGAGGCGGAGATTAAGCTCATGTAGGAGGCTACACGTGACCTTTCTATAGGAGGAACTTGGTAAATGATTGTTGAATGGGGGACAAATATAGAGGGGCCAGAGAGATGATTAGGACAAGGAGATGGAGAATAGAGGTTAGAGATAACATGGGGCAGATAGGGGTGAGTGACAAGGTAGGTGGCCAAAAGGATGGGAACTTCAAAGAGGAACAGAGCAACAGACAAAGGGGCAGAGGAGGGGCAGGTGACAAAAGGGACATTAGGTCAGGAGGATGGGAATAGAATTTTGGAATAGAAGGTCAGAGGAACCCTTTCTGCTACCATCTTGGACAGTGTGGAACTGATACTCCACCTGTGATTTATCAGGGCAGAGTCAATTGTGACTATCATTTACCTAGTCCTGGACACTGTGCTTCTCAATACAGTCTAAAACCCATTTAGTTTCATTGGCTGTTGTACTGCTATTGAGTGTGACTGACCTAAGGGCTTGGAAGGAGCTCTCTCTTTCACTAAAAGAGCTGGCCTGGAAAGCTGGGGAGCCTTGAAGAAACAGAAGGGAGAGAACTAGAGAGGGAAGACTGGACAGACCACCCTTTGTAAGGCACCAGAGAAGAGAATGGCTTGGCCTATCAGCAGTGTGCTCATGCCCAGTTTCCGTACGTGGGACAGCTTGTTGATGCCTAATCACAATCCCTTGCATCTCCCTCTTGGTAAACTCCTCTCTGGCAATGAAGGCCATTACTCCTCCACCTAGGGGAGAGCAGAAATTTGGAACCCTGGGGACTCTAATCTCTCTTCGGGGAAGGTCTTCATGGTCTGCTCAATATGGTCTCCTTTCCTACTGAAGGAAGGCCAGGCTCTTCACACTTCCAGCACTTTCCTACCCATCACAGGGTAGGACCTTGCACATAAGAGGCTCCTTAAGAAATGTTTATTTGCTTTTTTTGAACTCTGGCTATTTTTGCTACTCCCCACCCCCTTTCCCAGTCGTCATGTCATGATTCTGAGACCCTATGACTACATTCTTTCTCTCCCATTTTCCAAAATCCTCCCTATCTTTTAAGGCTCATGCACCACCATCTTTTGGAAAGCCTTCCCCCAAGTAACCCAGTCCCCAGTGATTGCCTTTCTTCTGCTCTTGAAGCCTTCACTTTTTGCATCCCAAATTTTAGCCCTGTTTTTCTTGGGCATGACTGTGACTCCTCTCCTTCCCCAACCTCACCCATGCAAAGTGTGTCAAAGAGTCGAGTACAGGCCAGAACCACAACTTTGCTCTGATTGCAATGGGTACAGGCTTTGCAGGGCTCTTGGAAACTGCTCTCTTTTGAATAGGTGTCTGGAGGACAGGGTTGGCACACAGTGTCAGTGTCCTTCCCACAAGGAATCTTGGCTTCACTGCCTGGGGGGCAGGCCTTGCATGGCTGGCAATGATTGGTGCTGCTGAGAAAGTGTCCAATGGGGCAGCTGCAACATGGCTGGCAGGGCTCAGAAGTTCCTTCTGAGGACAAGGTCTCATCTGTGGGGGAAAGTGGGGAACAAAGTAAGACCTGGCAGTGTTACAGAAATAATCCTAGGCTGGGAAATCTGGGTTTGAGTATCATCTCTGATACTAACTCACTATTAGGCCAATAATTTCCCCTTTGGGACTGTTTCTTCCTAGGGGAGTTGACTAGGGGATCTCTCAGATCCCTGCTAGCTCTAAAAATGCCACGACCACTTGGAAGAATCACTTCAGTTTGGGCCTCACTTTTCTTCCTCTGTAATATGAAAGCTTTGGAAGGGATCATTTCTAGAAGCTTCCAGTTTTTACATTCCATAGTTTTAGTCTGCTTTCCTGCCTTTCTCTCCACCTGTGATCTTGGGCCTTGGTTCCCACCATTTGTAGGCTTATCAGCTTCGCAAGGTGATCTGGCATTGATCAGGAAGCACGATAATAATCATGAGATGTCTGTCTCTGCAGCACTTCAAAGTTTATACAGCATTTTCCTCCTCATCCTGGGAGGTAGGTTGAGGCAATTAGAATTGTCCCCATTTTCTACATGAGGAAACAGGCTCAGAGAAGTTGAGGCTTAACCAGCTAGTGTCAGAGATGGCATCTGAACCTAGGCAAAAGCCAGTGTTCTTTCTACCACCCCTGAAGTGCTTTAGAAAAATTTAAAGTACCCTACAGGAAGACTGATGACAATTATATGAAAAAATATATCCTCCTCTCCTTCCTTTCCCCATTCCCACCTCCTTGTCCCAGCTGCCTGCCAGGCCTCTCCCCGATCATCTCCTCCAGCCCCAAACTTGAGCACACCTGCATACGCATACACACACACACACACACACACACACACACACACACACACACACACACACTCTCTCTCTCTCACTCTCTCACTTTCATTCTCACTCACTTACTGGAAGGACATGGTTTACACTTCACATCAGCTTCTCCACAGGGCTCTGAGGTCCCCCAGTCTGGGGGGCAGGTGTTGCAGCACAGATCTCCCCAAGGGAAGAGCCCACTGGGACAGAACTGTCCAGCCCACACCTGGGAAACAGACTCAGTAAGGAGGAATACCAACAACTGGGGAGGACCTAACCCCCAAATTTCAGCTTCTCTGGCCACTCCCCACTCCCCCAGGCTCCTGATTCCTTCCTCCTCCCTCTCCCCCAGGCTCAGCCCATGGAGGTGGAGGAAAGATGGGAGCTGGCAGAACAGGGACCAGAACCTTAGGTGGGGGAGGGTGCTGAGAAGAGGGACAGAGACACAGACAAGGAGAATGTGGTGGAGAACGTTGGGAAAGAAACACTGATGTGTAACAGCTGCAGTCAGGAGAAGGGAAGAAAGAGAAGGGGGTGGGGACCTGAGGAGACTTCCGCTGTGACCCAGCAAGAGGGGCCTTCCAAAGACAGGCTGAGAGAGAACTAGGACAGCCTCCTTCAGCTGAAGACAGAGAGGGGGATGGGGAGACAGAGAAGATGGAAAAAGAGAGGAATGGGGAAGTGGGGGAGATGGAGGGATGAGAAGATGGGAGGAATGACAAGGGAACAGTGAAAGGGACAAAGAAAGAGACACAAAAATAGGGATAGGGATGAAAACAATACATAAATACACCCCCCCCATCAGTGACCTTTGCTTGGACAGAGGATGAAAAAAATGGGCTGGGGAGGGGGCATAGTTTGCATCTCCTGTTCACGATTTCCTTTCATCCCCAATAATTTCTTTCAGTTTCTGCAATCCAATTTCTTTTATGTCTCTGGACACTAGGGAGTATTTGCCTATATGAGGGGAGATGGGACCATGACTTTTCTGGTATAAACCATACTCTTTCCTCCTACCCTAACAAGTCCCTGAGTAGATAGGAAACGTCTCAGATGGGGTCTTGTTCCTGGCACCCTCAGTCATCAGTGTAATCAGATGATATTGAGGCCCAGAGAGGTATGGTACCTTCCCCTGAGTCACACAGCAGACTCTTTCGAGAACTCAGAGGAGGGTCCCGCAATGAGACCCTGCTTCTAGGCATAAAAATGCCATTTCCTGGTTGGCAGGGATGCTCAGTGCCAGAGATGCCAGAAGTGGGGACGAAGGGTACACCCTTTTCCCCAAAGGAAATCTTAGGCCGTCTGGACTGAAAGGAATGAAATAAATGGATGGCCTAGAGAGGAGGACCCTGCCAACCAGATTCAATAATGACCCTCCAACTGACAAAGACCTTCCTGAATCCAGCTACATAAATCCCTGCACCCCACCCCCAATTCCTTCTTCCCCTTTAGAGTTCCCTTTGAAAGTGGTATGTCTCAAGATCTAGTGACCCCGCCTTGACCCTAAGATGCAGCCCTGTCTGGGATGCAGTTAGAAGGTTTGTGGGTGGAGAGCTTGCAGGACCGAACCCAGCTCTGTTTCTAATTGTCCTATTGACTTTAAGCAAGACATCCCTTCTCTGGGCCTCAGGATCCTCAACTGTAAATTGAGGTTATTAGATTAGACCTAAGGTCCTTCTCAGTTCTAAATGCGGTTCCACTTTCTAAGGTCCCTAATGCTTTGTATTGCCCATCTGGCTCTGAGCCTCAAAATTCGAATTCTCTGGGTTAGGCATTGTGGGGTAATCCCAATCGCACTGAGAGCTAGGTTTCATAGCTAGCTCTGCTCCCTGCCTGGCAGCTGGAGCAGGAAACTACCCCTCTTTGCATCTCAGATCCCTCATCTGTAAAATTACTTCCAGGATCTCAAAGTGTCTTCTCAGTTCCATGTTCCTCTATGTGTGTGCATGCTTGTATGTGCATGGCTGTTTTCTGCCGGGCCCTCGGCTCTGTCTTCCCAAGTATATGGCTCATTATTTCCATGAGGCCACACCCCTGCCTTGGGGGCTTTCATCCTTTGTGAATAGAAGGGGAAGGGAGAACTTGGGTGTACACACATTCCTGGGCCCTAGGCTTCCCCGCCCACCCCAACCTGGCTGAGGCTTGCTTGGTATATATGGTGAAAACTCCTGATCCAGAAAGGAGGGGTAGCTGGGGGGCGGGAGTTAGAGATTATGTTCATGACTGTTTCTTAAATCTACATGGGATCTGCTTTCAAGCCATGAGCCCTGTTTTCTAGTTTTGCTGCCAGCATTAACTTGATGTGTGAACTTGGCTAAGTTCCTTACCCTCAGTGGGCCTGTTTCCTTACCTTGAAAAGAGTATCGAACTAGTAACTTCCCTAAGGACCCTCCCACTCCAATAGTCTATTACCAACTTTTCCATCTGCCTGCCTCAAGAGTCTGAAATGCCCCTTTCCAAAATATCAAGGGCCAGCTCCCTCCTCCTCCTCCCCACCAGCGTCAGACTCAGTGGACAAAAGCCTCCCTCCAGAATAAAGCGCCCCCTTCCAACAGTCCCCCCGGGGTTCCCACCACTAGTCTCCCCTCCCACTGGGAAATGGAAGTACCTTCCCAGACTTCATCTGAGTTGGTGGCTGCCTTGTCTGGACGCAGAGGGATGAACCGGGTTACCTCTGGGAAGGGACATAAGCGACTACAACTCCCTTCCCATGGCTAAGTCAGAACTACGGTCCGCCGAAGGGTCCTGGCCCCTTTCAGGAGCACCCCCAAAGGGTGTGGGACGAGGTTGTCTCCTCTCAGCCTCTCTCCCTCCCTCCCAGGTGTCTCTCCCGGGTTAGGACAGGTCATCCACCCATGGGTGGGGCAGATGGGTGTGAGACCAAGGGACAGACAGAGCCTCACCTCGGACGGAAGCAGCGACCTCAGGAGCAGCCACAGGAGCCAAGGGCGCGGCCGCCGCCTGTCCCCGGACATCTTCTTCGGCTCTGGCTCCCAGGTCCCTGCCCGGGTCCACAGGGAGGGAACCTAGAGGAAGCTCAGTACTTGCCCTGCTCCAGGGGCGGGCGCAGAATGGGGAGGGGTACGAAGCGAATGGGGCCGGGAAGCCCTAGAGAAGGACCCGAAGGGAGGTCGGAGAGGGAAGCGGCAGGAGGGAAGCCTGTACGAGGGTGGCTGCAGGAGCCTGAGTGAGACCTTGGAGAGGCCAGAGAGGGGGTAATGTGGGTTAGAAGAGCCTGGGGGTGAAGTGGGGTGAGAGCGGGGTTTGGGGATCAGGAGCCTGGGAGGACAGGAGTCTGGTAGTGCTCTTGGGGGGTCTAAGCCGGAGCCCAAACGGAGCAGAGGCTGGAGGAACTGAGGGGCGACTGGAAGGGGGGGGTTAGGACAGCAAAGGACCAACTCCTCTCCCTCCGCGCCGCCGACTGGTTCTCCTGCTCCTGCCTCCCCCTACCCGCCGCCGAATCCTCCTCTCCCTCCCCCTCAACCCCCACTTTCTGAACTGTCGGACCTCCCGCCCATCCCCGCTCTGTGGGGGCTGGGATTGCCTCCCGCCCCGCCCCGTCCCGTCCAGTCCCGTCCGGGGCGGCATCTAGGGAAAGGGGCCCGGGGAGAGGCGGGGCTAGGGGGTCCCGAGGGAGGGGGCACTAGGCCCCCCCCATCCCCATCTTAGCTCAATTAGAGACCTGCTGGGGCAGGGCACGCGCGCGCACAAACAATAGAAGCAGACAGTCAGCCTGATCTGGGGGCCCCCGCACCGTCCCTTGCACAGGCCACGCCAGCCACGCCGACAGCGGGCGGACCACTCATAGCACACACGCCGGGTCAGATGCTCCGCTCCCCGGCTCATTTCAAATTTCAAATCTCTGCAAAGCTCCGCTGTTCCATCAGGGTAGTAGGCGCTCCCCCTACCGAGGCGCATCCTCCCCGTCCTGCCTTACTTAGGAGGCGCCTTTGGGAAGTTGTTGCTTTAAAAGGCAAAAAAAAAAGAGAGCAAGGCCAGGCTGCCTGTCTTGTGGTGAGCCGCAGCTTGTGGTCGGCCTCTGGAGCAGCCCGAGGACCCTGGCTCGGCTATGTGAGCCCCTTTGCCCCATTTCCCCAGCCGGGTAAAATGAGCGCCAAGATATCTGGAGTTGGACGAGATGAGAGCTCCCCTGCAGCCCTGGGATGGAGGAGCGGCCTTTCTGCGCTTGGGGAGCCAGACTGGTAGGTACCCTGAAGGCAGCGCAGACGTGGAAGCAGCCGGGCCTTTACTTCAAACTGCTCTAACTTGGCAGTACCTGCCCTGGCTTGCCCTCTTCCGTCCACCTACAGCCTCCGAGAAAAGCCCAGGCCTTTTTCGTAGACCCACCTGAGAACCTGAGAAGCTGCCTGGCAGGGCTCCTGTATCAGCGAGCCCCCGCGTACCTCCTGCCGTGATTATAGGCTGATCATCTTTTAGTCGGCCAGACTCAATTCATTTTTAGAGTGGTATTTAAGGGGGTATATAGCAAGAGCAAAACAAAACATTCCCTCTCCCCGAAGGCTGTGACACATGGTCTCCCACTCGCCTTTAAAGCTGGCAAAGTGCATTCTTTGAGCCTTCCAGCCACCTTGTGATGAGGGAAATGAAACTCAGACTTACAGGTCCAGTTACTAAGAAAGGCTGGAAACCTAACTCGGTCCTCCCGGTTTCAAGTCCAGCATTGTTCACCACCCCAGAACATAACCTATGCACACATGCCAAGCATGCATGAACTTGGCAATACAAACATGAAGCAAAATAGCGTCCCCCAAAGTCTTTTGAGACACCCTGTATTCCTGGGATTCTTTACTCATTTCCCCCCAAACCCCTCAGCCCTCTGCTAGGAAATCAGATAAAGAAAAAAGCTTTGGTCTCTGACTCTGGGAGCTTCCCCACCATCCCGGAGACAAGAAACACACTCTAATAGAGAAATGAAGCCAAAGGTGGGTAAAGTGCCAAATGACTGGTTTGCCTCATCTCATTCATTTATTTGAAATCAAGAAAGAGACCTCCCAAGTCATCTAAGGACATCCTTCTCGTTTTACTTAAGAAAAACAGGCCCAGAAAAGGAAGGGACCTGGGCAAGGTCATGCAGGTTACTCACTTGCAGTCACGATTTGAACCTCGGTTCTTGGTCTGCAGACCTGAGGCTCCAGTCACATTACCTGCTCTCACAAGGTCACAGATGGACATACACACACCCTTGAAAAGACCCACAGATTTTAGCTTCCTTTCCCACCCAGCAGTTCACATAAGGGCCAGGGCCAACTTTCTAATTCTCTTCCCCCTCCCCCACCCCCTCCCCCCTGCCACACATCTTGAGTGAGAGGGAAGTGGTAGACAACCGGGAAGATGAGGACGCCTTTGACAGGGGAGCTGCAGGCCACCTCCGGAGAGCAGGGCCAGAGAGAGGCCACAGCACCTTTCATCTCAGAGGGGTGGCGAATCCAACACCCCTATCAGGGGGCGGAAGGGAGGTGGAGCAGACCACTTTGGAGCCTCTGGGGACCATAAAATTTTTACTGGGGTGGGTGAGGCAGGAAAGGAGATGAGAGGGGGTGGGGTGGGAGGAAGAGCTAATTCAGCCCCAGGGCTCTTCCTTTCAAGATCACCGAAGGTGCTCAAAAGCCAGAGAATTTAGCCGGCCAGAAGGTGGAAGGGGGGGGGCCCTGTAAAATGCCAGTTTTAAGGGAATGGCAGAAGGGCTAGTTCAGTCCCATTACTTTAGAGTAAAAGGAATAGAAATCCAGGGAGACGAAGAAAATTTGCCCTAAGTTAGGCAGCTAGAGAAAGAATGAGGCAGGACTAGGTAGAACCTAGGTGTCTTTCCCCAAACTCGGTCCTAGTCCAGAAAGGACTCCTCAAACAAACATGGAGTGCTACCTGTACCTCTGGGTCCCTTGGCAGGCAGATTGGGGGCATCAAAATGAAGGGGCCAAAGGGTGGTCAAAGGGGAGCATCCCCTCCTTCCCTTCCCTTCCCTCACCCAAAGAACAGTGGGGCGGTTGTGTTTGTATGGTGTGTAACTGTGGTTGTATTTTTGTGTCACATATTACAGGACGTGTGTATCACTGTATCGACATTTGTTTCATTGTGTAACTGTCTTACATTATCGGTATGATTAAAGTTCTATCAGTGTTGACCTTCCAAACACACACACACACACACACACACACACACACACACACACACACTATCCACACTGTCTAGCACAGTATAAAAGTGTGTTGACTGATTGGAGGGTGAGTGTAAGTTTTGACTGTAGTACATTCTCCCTTCCCTGGGTTTCTATTCCCCACCCTTTCAGCTGAGCTTGGACCAGAGTGCACTTGTGACCCTCCGAGTAGGTGAGAAGGCCTGCTGGACCTTCGAGAAGCTCTCCTTGCAGGTTTCAAAGTCTGGAGGGCAGAGAGACACGGAGACCGGGCAGCTACAAAAACAGGGCAAGTTTATTGTTGGGGGAAGGCCACATACAGGGACAGGATTAAGGCCACGGCACCGGGCACTGGCCCCTTTGTGCTAGGGGGTTTGGGAAGGAGAAGACAGGCTGTCACGGACACCCCCCCACCCATCCCATCCCGGGCTGTGCAAAGTGCTGCCATGTGGACAGGGCCCAGGGGCTAGTTCCCCAGGGGAGAAGAGACACCCCTCACCTCCCCTTTCCTAACCCCCACCCACAAACAGACAAGCCTGGTTTCCCTGGTCCAGCCAGAGAGAGGCTGTGCTGCCTGGCCCCCATACCTGCTAGGAGGTGGGCCTTTCCTAGGGATACCGGCCCCCACCAATCCCTGAGCTGAGAGGCGGGCATGACACCTGCAAACAACAATCCCCATCCCCAATGCCTATTTATAGGCATGTCTGACCTCCTAGCCCGAGAAGGGGGCTGAGAAGAGGAGGGAGGTTTTTTCAGCTCCCTAGAAGGGGATGTCTCCAGTGACCAGACCGAGGGCCCCATCTATCCTCCTAGGCATCCTACCCACACCGAGGTGGGGCTGGGGCACGGGGCCTGCCCATTCAGGGGGCCTAGGGCCAGTGCATTTATTTGTTCTCCTGCCCCATTCTGGAGGAGGAGGAGAGGCCCGGAGTACCCTAGAGGCGGAGCCAGAGCGCCTGGACTAGGGGGCTGGCACCACTAGGAGGGGTGGGACGGCCAGGCAATCACTTTGCCTCGGGTGGGTTATATTCCGTCTCTCCCGATGACACCTGCGAGATCCGCCGCGTTGATCTCCAAAGTCTCCTGGCAAACTGCCCTGAACGCACCTAGGGTGGGCAGAAGGGAAAAGTCATGCTCATGTTCCAGGCTTTCCCCCGCCCCGCCCCGCCCCCAGACACACGTCGGGGTTCTTCCCCTCACCTCCGAGGGCTGTCCAGCTCCCACCACTATCAGCTTCCCGTCCTCCAGCCCCACGAGAATGTGGCTCCTCTCCTTGGTCACGGCCACGCTGTAGATGGGCACCTTCATGGACAGTGAGGGCACGGCTGGGACCAGACTAAGGAGAGGGAAAAGAAAGGCAAGGTGGGATCCGAGCCAGGAGTGGGCAGGGGAAGGAAGGAGGGAGGGCGCGGATGGGGATGGCCCGAGCACTTTCAAAGCCTAGCAACACGGCTAAACCTCACATTACCGTGGGGACTACAATTTGATGACAACCCCGTGAGAGGGAGGCAGTCTGTTTATTTTATCACCCTAAATTTCCAGATGAGAAAACCGAGCAAATTGTCTACGAGTTGGAACCGGGCCTGGAGCTCAGAAAACAGCACGGCTAGGTGGTCCAGTGGATAAAGCTAACCCTGGAGTGTGAAAGAACTGAATTTGAATTCTGCCTCGGTCACTAGCTAGCTGTCTGACCCTGGGCAAGTCACTTAACCTATCACTCAGCCTCAGTTTCCTCAGGTGTAAAATGGGGGATAACAATAAATAGGACATATTTCATAGGCTTGTTGGGAGGATCCAGTGAGATGACATGTAAGTGATTTGCAGATCTCAAAGAATTATATAAACGCTGGCTATTATAATCGCAGCACATGCCAGGGCTGGGACAAAAAGGCTTACTGAACTCATCTATATTTCTGAGGTCTCCTCCAGCTCCAATATACTCTAACACTGGGTGTATTGCAGGAAAACAGACAGAGATGGAAGGAGACGTTAGAAAACAGAGCGCCCTTTCTACAGCTGGGAGATGTATGCAGAGCTACCTCTGGCAGCAGAAGCTCGGAGAACAGAAGGCCGGGGGAGCATGGTCTAAAGGCAGGGTCACCCGGGCTGGGACCCCCTGGAAACTGGTCTGTGTCAAGATAGACAGACGGAATCTGGGCCTGGAGGTCAGATTAGAGGCCTTAATGACAATTTCCAGGTCTGGGAATCTGACTTTCCTCCAAGGGTGGGAAGTGAACTCAGGAAGTAGCTGCTCACTTCAGCTAGTTGTGGGAGGCCCTGGGATAGTA